CAAAGTGTAAAAAAATTCAAGAGGGGGGTGGGAACAGAAGAGTGTATCAAAGATGAAGGCAGATAAGGTGGAAAAAAGGTGGGATGAGTACTGTGAAAGTAGTCGAATATGACATACAGTATGGTCATGGTAGTTTGAGGTCAACTGCCATGTAATAGACTTTTTCGCCGTATGAGTATACGTTGCCCAGGGCGCACAACGTGGAGGTAAGTCTATCGCACACCCCATTCATTAAATATATCACGGAGGTAAGTCTATCGCACACCCCGTATTTTACCACGTGGAGGTAAGTCTATCACACACCCCTATTCACTGATAGTCACTTTCAAGTTTTGCATGCCATGGCTTAACTGTCTTGAGTTGACTATTTGCTATGATGAATTCCATTGGAGGTAGCAAATGGTGCTAATTTTTTTAGACAGGATTTGTTTTAGATTCTTTAAAATTCCTATATGTATGAACTATGGAAAAAGCTTCAAAGGGAGTAAATTCAACACATCTAATTTTCGCACATAAAAAGTGAGAATGTTGGTGCTTTTCATTTCGAAATATTTGAGCGATCAGCAGCCCCTAAGCAAACGCTGAGTGTCGCATTGGTGATAGCGTTTTGGAAAATGTGTCGCCTGTATTTCGGTTTGTAGGTTATCGCCAACTTCTGACTTTTTGTTATAAACTCCCAATTAGTAAACAACAACTAACAAGCCTTTTAATTAGCTGTCTTGAATGCGAGAAGAGCAAGGAAAGTACAACGAAAACCTTGGTCCACAGTCTCATATACTCGGTCAAAAACGGTTCTAAGAATGCCTATATGGAAGTTTTTTTGCATCATTTTCCACTCTATTCATATAACCGCAGTAGATCGTATTAAACGCACCGAACACTATGGGGTTTGAAAGTACCTTCTAGTGTGATTACTAACGTATTCGTCTGTCTCGACATTTAGTGCCCGTCGCCTTTGTTCACGCCATGTGGATAGATATGCGTCTAATTAGTCAGCGGTTCAAACGTGCGATACACCAATGACGCCAATTCTGGAGGGGTGGGGGAAGAACCACCCGTCATGCTCAAATAAAGGTCTCACCTACTGGCAGCAGTTGTCTCAAGTTCGTTTCATTATGTCGAATGTTTCATGAGGCAATTGACAAAAAATTAGAGCATGCATAAAGTTTGCCAGAGAAAGTAGTTCAATTTTGGATTTCAGTTAGAAAATGTAAGTTTCATACCCACGCCATTTTACCCACATTCCTATTTGACTTGTAGTTATCGTAAATTGGATTTAAACAGACGTCTTGCAACTGGTTGCTTTACATATCGATATAAGGAGATTCTGCTATTGCAACAAGCAACATATCCTGTCTAGCATAACAGTCATCCATAGCCGATGCTAATTACCAGGGCACATTTCAATCAGTTTGATAAATGGAAGGAATATCAAAATATGATAACCAACTACTCAAGCAACTATTGAAACGAAGTCAATATCATCCAACAGACAGCGATATACCGAGTTCTAAAGTCTTACAACCTCTAAAATAATAGTCATATGGGTGTCAGGCATTAAAAAATTGTTCTTACAGTAATTTATGAGAGGAAAAAACCTATGAAAGATTTCCACTTAAAAAGGGCGGGTTAGATAGCACTATAGCACAAGTAACAACGTCTTAGGCATCTGACTTTACTTAAGATGAGTTAACTAAATTTTTGCGGCCTAATATTTTTCCTAGAACATCGATGAGATTTGACACCAGAAACCATCTTTTAACCAAAAGAGTTTCAAGAGTTCTAGTGTTGTTTGACAAATATGAACATGGCTTGAGAAAGCCAAGGTGATGAGAATATCGGCGAAAGTAGAGCCTTGCTCTTGAAAACCAAGATTAGAATTTCAATGAATGAAACACTTCCCATCTATCTCAAATAAGCAAGCACCAAAATCGCTGTCCAGTTTATAAAATCCTCCAGATTCAATATCGAAATCACCCAATTTCACGCACTCTTTTTTTGGCATATTTCACAGATAAAAGGCTAAGTCAAATTTTTTAACACGACATTTTATCATATAATCTTGATCATAGCCATTTCTAACACTATTACATTATTTCAATTAAGTTATAAAAATGTTTATGCAGTCTTAATGCCTAAACGTTCTTCTTAACGAAATCAACCGTCAATTATCGGGAGTATTTTTATCAGTTTAATTACTTTATAACCAGTTATGTTTGAAAGTTTCCCTCAAAAGTGTGATTAATTACCCCAATAAGTAAACCGAGTTAAGCTCTGCACTTGCACTAGTTATCTTAAACAGAGACCTGTTGAACTTGATTTATGGGAAGCAAAAGGGTGTAATCATGAGATAGAAAACCCTATTTTCATTTTCACACACTTTTGCATCTTGGTTTATACATGGAAAGAGGACATTCTGAAGAAGTGAACTTTGCCGAACGCTAATTGGAATAGGGACTGTTGAAAAGTCAAAGCATCATGATCAGTGCTTTCAACTCGATTGTTCAACTAGTATTTCACTCACAGTGGACTCTGAAATGTCATAACTTGTGAATAATTTTGCCAACCAGCTACTTATAGCTACTCCAGAAGGTAAATTTAATAAAGAGACCGGAGTAGCCAATGTACGCAATCAGCTGACGTTTAAACTCCAAACAATGCATTAGTACATTAGGCCATATTTTACAAGCACAACACCTGTTTAAAGTACACTAACAGCCTTGCGGAACCAAAGTTAGGCAATGCCTGCACACGGAGTGGGGTAATCGAGTTGGGAGCTCAGTTTGGTCATTGTTTAGATCAAATAAAGTCTTCATCGGCCACTATCCCTCAGAGTGGATTTGGGTGGTCATGAGGCTATTTCCTACCTGCCCACAGCTATTGTTATCATTAACGTCCAGTGCCCATTTTCCGCCTTTCATGCTTTTTATGCTTTGTATGCAATGCCATATCTGCATACCTTATCTGTATTATATGCTTTAATAAAATACCTCTAGACCACATTGACAATATAGCCATGAATTTGACTTTATTGCCACTTAAAATCACTTTGTTACTTTCTCTACAGCCATCATGGAATTACATTACCTTTCCTCGTCTTCATACGCTTTCAGATTTTTATTTTTCTAATAATTCAAGTAAATAGGTTGATAATTAACCAGAATATTTTGTCTAATTCAAATTTTACCTGCATAGATAGATGTGCAATGGACAAAGAACGTTATTGAAGTTAAGATTTAATGTAAGGGAAAGTCATCTGACTGACGTACATCACCCACCAACACCCAATTCTCCTTAAAACCCATAAGTATCAACAAGGCATAGAAAGCCATCACAACTATAAATTGTTCAAGTGCGGTAAAATGTATATAAATGTTAGTGATTAATATTTTTGTTATTCTAGTGTAGAAAATTTTGAATACTGCCTTGTTATTGACGACTTTAAGAGAAGAGCAGGGCGGGGGTCGGAAACGATACCATCATCTGTGTTTGAACGATTAGGCAGTGATGATATACGACGGTTTTTTTTGGACTCCATTTACCTATTGGTAGATGAAAAGGCAAAAATCAATAATTTTTATCAATGATTTCCTTTTAAATAAATCCAATAGTTAAATTACTGTTGTTTTTACCTAATAACAGGGTATAATTTTCCAAATTCTTAATTATGAGAAGGCATTCAAATGGGTTAACAATTCAAAAAATGACAGGGGGGAGAAAGGTCTAAAATGATGCTGAGAGCAACTCCAAGAGGTAGTTCAAGTTCCAAAACTCATAACTCATGGTTCATCCTCTTTCTTTCTTTCCTCTTTCCATTGACTGAGAAACCAATAGGATCACGCCTTATATTTAAGGACTAACAGCTGCAGCATAACGGAGATGATAAGGGCAAACATTATAAAATGGAATGTCTGCGTCAGGTATAAAATGGCTAGCCTAATAGTTAACAAATAATGATAGCACGATAAACGTTGCTCATTTTTGCGCAATAAGCAGTACTGATCTAAGTGGTCACAATCGGTCGCTTTCATGCAAAACAAATGATCGAGTAAACAGACTCATTAATGTCAACCACTAATATATTTTCTTTCATACAAGCTCTCTCCTTAAAATGACAAGCCTCTACTTATGAGTGCAAGGAAATATTCGAAAAAAGTAGTTTTGCGCTTAACAATTAAACCTGTTCTGGCATGCGCCTTTCAGCACTTTAATGCTCTAAATATTGCTACGAGTGTCTGTGGATCTCCACTTGAGTACTTTTTGTCTGAATATGAGTATCACAAAACAAATTAAACCTAAAGCACTATTAAAATCTCATTCAAACTTCTAATCACTCGCTATTATAATTAAAGAGGATTAAGTTCAAAGGTTTTAAAGCGATGGAATTAATTAATAATTATTAAGCTTAAGCATAACAACTGTTTCCTTTTATTTCCTAGAAACTAATTTATTACGGCAATGTTTGAAAAAATATAGGCAATAAAATCTAATAGAATAATAGCAGCTAAAAGTAGTAAATCAAGTTGCACTGCTTCCGATGAGAGTTAAAATACCCGACTTCTCTCTCTAATAATATTGATCATTTATAGAAAATTAAATTAGAAGTAGGAGACGATACACGAGCAAAGCTGCAAAAAACGCCTTGCCAACCCCCCCCCCCTCATTTTATGCTAACCTGTCAGAGAAGGAAATTCAGTTAATTAAAATTTTATAAAATGAGTTTGATACATCATTAAGTGGAGCAGCACATCACTGTTTGTTCAAAAAACAATTATTTTTCAAATAATAGGACCCGTAGTAGATTGTATCACAAAAATGAAAAAAACAATAATTTTATTTATACTAATCTCTTCTGTTCAATGGAGTCCATTTGATATTTTTTCAGGTATATCTAGTTCATTACTCGCATTTATTACAAAGTACCAATGCATACTTACGGTTTCTGATATTGCATATCACACACACATATGTTAATGAATCAAAACTCCACCCATTTATTCCTACACGACATCAGACGGCAAACGTGAGGACGTCGAGGGTGAATTAATCCCTGTAGTTGAATCTGTAATATTCAAGAAAAGTGGATGCGACGGATTCTGGTGTTGTCTAAATTGTTGCGAAGACGATGAGGCCGGTTGTGGTTGCAAATGCTTAGACTGTCTACAAAACTCCTGACCACCACTTGGCTTAAGTGGTCGAGCAAGTGTAAGTTGGTTCCATTTCACAGCATATGTTTGGGGAATTATTCCATCTCCTCGAGAAAGGCTGTAGACATAGTGAGGGGTGGCTCTTTGAGGCATTGGCGAAGAAATGGTTGGTATAGGGACATCTGCAAGCGTTGGGTATTGGTGCTGTTGAGACAATGGTGAGGGAGAGACAGAGGAGGGTAAATTCTGCTCAAACACGGTTCCAGTAAGTTGACGTTTGATTAAGTCGTTTGAAATACGACTGCTGGGCCAAAGTCTGCATTCCCAGATCGTGGAGCATATGCCTTCAGCAAGAACCACTAATAGAGAACCCACCATAACGACAGATGTTAAGATGTCCAGTAGTTCTGCTGAATTGTAAATACAACATTAAACTCTGTTATGATGTAGTATAAATTTGACCTACTATTGGAACTACTTTGTAATGGGAAAAATGTATCTGTTTGCTCAATTCTAGTGTCCTTTTGAGTGAAGAAGCCCTTATTGTTTTTAATGACATTGTAATTATATTGTTAGGCTTACCCAGCTATTTTTATATAAGCTAGTTATATAAGTTGAGAATGAATAATTTCATTTAAAATGTTATTCCTTCCGGTCACTTATTTGAGCGTTTTTTAAACGCATTTAAAAGACTTGGAAAGATCCATATTTCATACATATGGTCAAATCAAGGTAAACTGTAATTTTCTCAAAAAGCGACACACCTGTGGACAAATCCTTCCTTAGTAGAGATATAGGTGAAAAATGGCCAACTGAAATGAACGTCAAGTTCCCCATTGGAAAAGTAGTTACTTGGAGTAGGAAACGTCGTGAAAATTAGATATATAACTGAATTTGCAATGCCACTTTGGGGAAATGACCAAATCCATTCTTAGAAAAATTGAGGACACAATACTTTGGTACGATAATCTATATATGTATACATATATATATATATATAAAATATAAAATATAAAATAAAATAAAAAAACATCAGTCAGATGAAGGGAGAGGAAGCGATGAATTCCAAAGTGCAGACTTAGTTCGAAAAAATGTGAAATCGAACTGACGTTAAAAATTTCATTCGATACGTAGAAATTAGGATAGAATTAAAAATGATATTCATCACGTAGACTTTGATTAATTATTTTAATCAAGGCTCTTAACTATATCATAGTTCGAAATATTCCACACCCTGCTCTTCTCCACTCATTAATACGAAAGTTTCACTCTTTTGAAAATTCTGTCCCCAATAGGAATAAATCAATATTTACCATAATACAGACAGAAATTAAGTCGATAGAATTTTCAAATCAACTTAAAAGTTGAAATAAAATGTGCCTTTCATCCAGTATAAATTTATGCAGTCAGAGTCTTAAGTGTTGGTATCACAGATTCCAGGTTTCAGGCTCCTAACTTAGTGGGGTAATTTCCGTAGGAACTTATGAGCCTTTCATGAAATAAGTATGCCTTGCCAGATTACATGGGAAAATTATTCGGCCAAAAGAAATCAAAAAAATAATTATAATACATAGGCAGAACCACGGTGTGGAACCTTAAATTTATGGGTATTATAAAATAGGCGTGGTCATCATGTGATCAAAGTCCTTGATCACAAAAGTAGTTCACACCCTTTTTTGAAATTAAAAGAAGCCAGTTTTGGGCCCTTACCATTTTTGTTGAATACGCTTTCAGTAGATTTCAGTCTTATTGACCGACTTTGCTTGGGAGATATGTGCACCGTTACAGCCACTCGACTAAAATGGAAGAGGAATTCTTAGATTTGTCTCTGCTAACATAATCCATTGTGAATGCATATGAGTACCTATGTCGCTGTTCCATTGACGATTGATATGATAAAAGGCCTCCCATCTCCAATATCAGAATCTTATTCTCATCGTATAGGCGAGAAAATTCGGAGCTCAATTTGTTCAAATTTGAATCTATTGCCAAAAGCATTGCTTGAAGCGAAGATATGATATTTTCACTTCCTGTAGGCAAATTTCCTGACTTCACAGAAGATGAATTGCTTTTTGGAAAAAGATCTTTAATACTAAAATTGCTCAGTAGTCCATTGAGGTTGTAAGCAGCATCAAGGCACTTTTGTCCATTTCGTCGAAGATCGAGAACAGTAACATCTGATATGAGATCGCTAATTCGCAGATCATTCAGAAGTCTGGAGAAATCAGCTGGACTTCTCTGGAGTAAAATCATAATTAAGTTCAGTTGAACACTCTGTTGACTCATATCAAAGAGAAAGGACTCCTGCAGTCGATTTGTAAATGCTTCACTAAGTTGGCTGACTTTAGCAAGCATTCCAGTGTGTTCAGCTTGATCAAGACAGTTTTCATCAAAAATTGCACTGTTTACTTTTCCATTGGATTGAAGAAAGGTTTTCACTAGACGACTTCTTCCACTTCTTGAGTAATTTGCTGCCTGACCGATGATCTTCACAATCCGTTTCATTACCTTGCTTATTCGTTGAAGGCTCATCAGAGTCTCATCTAGACTCATTAGTTCGTGGAATACTTTTCTGTTAGCTTCACGAAGAAATGCCCATAATTGAATGGATGCTGTTAGCTGTAAAAGTGACATTGATTTAAAATGAAAACTAACAAAGCAGACAGCTTTTAAGGCTACATGGATATTGTACCTGGTAATCTCGTTCATGTTGATTAAGCGAGTGGAACCAATATCGACTTATAGAACGAGCTACTTGTGTATCGAGAGTGGATTGATTATAAATGGGACGAGATCGGACGGATTGAAATTTCCAGAAGCCCCGAAAATCGGGGAAGAATGGTTTCCAGGCTTGAGTGATCGATTCATAGTTGTAGACAGTTTGCTCACATGGGTGAATGCAATTGCAGGTTGACAGAGAAAGAGAATCTAGAAATAAAAAATTGCCAAGGGTGTTGACTAGCAAAGTTATATGCAATTATTTATGCAAATTTATGTAATTATAACTGGATTTTTATTACAAAACGATCAATATATATATAGTCCAATTGAAACCAATTTAGGATGCTATTGAAAGCTGAAAAGATTCCTTGTTTCCGAACTGGCTTATGCTTCACTTCTTGTCATCTGGGATTGAAATTATTTAGGAAGCAATTTTAACTCCATATGAAATTAAATTTATTTCTAATCTTCACATTAACTCGGAAATTTAATGTTTAATGTTTAACCAAGGGTAATAGGGACGCCATTAATGGCGATGAGAACAAATTCTATTAGAAATGTAGGAAATATCTTTTATAGTAAAGTAATGTAGTCAATATTCTTATGCACTTTTGTCACAGAAATGCTTTAAATGCAAATTGTTAATCTTTGATCAAAGTCTGATTTTTGTTATAAAATCGGTGACAGACACTTTATTTGTCAATTTGTTGGAAAAAAACCCATTCCAAGATTACATACTTAAGCATTTCACTATTAAATTAGGTAAAATTAAGAACAGAAACAAAAATAGTTATTGAAAATGGAGAACCTACCCTGTATAGTATCCAGTTGCAGACTACAGCCAGATATAGAACTAAGATTACAACCATCATTTCTGGCTAAAATAATAAAAATTGCAGGTAGCTATGATGGGAGAGTAATGGTAACATTATAATACCATACCTCATAAGGAGCACTCCAACCACATCTCTAATATTCTACGCTACTGGATGTGCTTCTTGCTGCAAGTTTTGAAAAGAATATATTCCACTGAATCTGTCGCTAAAATACTGTATGTTACAGGAGAGATCAGAAAAAAGAATGTTTACATTCCTTGTAGGTCATGATAAAATCTTGCTGAATTCTTTCTTCAATGATCAAAATATGCCAAAGCTCTGTATCTTTTAGTCCAACAGTCGCCTTGATTCAATCTTTGGAAAATAAATTAGTTTAGCCCGTTATTTCACAGATTAGTATCACCAAGAGATCACCCTTGAATGGGGTATGCAGAGCTTGGCTTGAAGATTCCTACAATGTGCTTTGATCCCTATATCTGCTGGTCAACTAACTATATAAATGAGATGTTGATAAGCACTGATTCCACTCATAGTGACGAACTGAATATGTGTACAAATCAATCATCCGTGAATGAGATTGCATTTTTTTTCTAAAACGTAGTTTTGCTCCCAGACTAAGCAGCTATCATAACAAGTGGTTTTATTAAGCAGAACTGATTTTAAATCTCTCAAGTCATCTCTAATTCATACGCATTTACCAAAAAGTACAGTTTGGAGATTCTCTCAACAGATGTCTCGATTTACGATCAGATTTCGTTTCGCATGGTCGAGCACCAGGGATACATAATGTATTTATAGGTTGTGCGTGGATATTGCAAAATTTAATTTAATTTTATTAATAGTAAAAAATTAACAAGTGGCACTGCCACAATAATACAAGGTAAATGACGAAGAGAAGAATATACACGAGTGGACTCACCGCTAAATATACATCGACATTCCTTTTGGATTCGATTCATGAGACACTTATCAATGCAGGCCTCCCAATTTCGGAGAGGAACACAGTTGGTTTCCAAAACCTATCGAATGAAATAAAGAATTAAAAATTAGTTGATATAAATTTTATATAATAATTTTGTTCATTGTGGGGCTAGAAGGCAAGCTATTAATTGGATTAATTAATGTTAGAGTAATTGTTCAAATAGTTCAAAACAAGTTTTAATGACCAAAACCTACTGATTAATGAAGATAATTTCATAAAGTTAACTTTCTTATTTCAATGAACCTCCGATTCGCAATCCAAATGGTAACAAGATCGGTAGCTTTTGTATAAAAAAATAAACTAACTGTTAAGAAATTTACGAAAGGCCTGATAATCGAGGGCATAAAAGTCCCTTCAAGTTAAAGAATTATAAAAACGATATTTCTCTGTGCATTTTTTTGAAGATACTTAGCCCAATGGCATCCTCTGTTGTTATTTTAGCGTTGATAAACGCAATATTACTAGTTAAATAACAGTAAGAAGAAACAAATTTTGAATAATTGCACAATAATATGACCACTAATCCTGAACCAGATGCATGTTGTACCTTGAAAATTCACAAGCAATTGTAGTATACGTAAGATGAAGCAACTACCATAATACATGCCACTTCTCATTCAGCGAAATATATATATATATATATATCAGATCGATTGGCTTTTGACTGATGAATGGACAGTAACAATTCCCATAATGCGGCAAAAAATGAAGTTTTCATTTAGTGTTTGGCCTAACAAAGACGTTTTAAGAAATTTTGCATAAATAAAGATTGTTTTCATTTATTTACTTATATCAAAATAAAATATCAACAGAAAATTCCATGCATGCAATGAGAACAAATTTCAAGTTGAAAAATGCCGTAATCTGTGAGATGAAAAATTTTTAATCAAAAGTTATATAATATGGTCTCTAATTATATTTCAGCGTTGCAAAATTCGTATTAAGAGTTATAAATGATCATCAATATCTTAATTACTATTATTCATGTCAATGCAATAAAAACTTAAATAAATTTTAATCGTAAGATGGAATCCGCAAACTCTAAATCAAACCAAATTTAGTGAAGGAAGGAAGGGTTTTATTGGCCTAAAATGAGATCAGATTGTCAAGAGCTCCACTTTATCTGGTTTTTTGGAAGTTCTGAGTTGTCCACTTTCCCACAAAGGGTAACACGCAAATGTTCCAAATATCGTGATTTCATCCATGGATTTTTGACCTAGTTAAAATATATGTCAAAACTTGACGGTTGAATGAGAAATTCTCAACTATTTGTGAATTTATACTACTATGAAATCCAAGATTTGACTATAAAGACGTAAAAGTGTTCATTCAAATTAAACCCGCAATATTCACACATATTCCACACATTCTCATCGTCAGTAGGTAATTTGTATCGGTCTCTTATATGCCTAATAAGTGCGTACATAAACCAATCTTTCCTAACCCAACTTAATCCACCCTGTTTCTTACAAACCAAGGTTCTATTGGCTCATTTTCCCTTTTCTTAAACGGCTATAATATGCGTTTGGGTGAACTCAAACCACAGGAAAGACTTCGGTATTCTGTTAAACTGTAGAAAGATTATTAGTTACAAGACGGACTATAGAGTCACATACTAAGCACCTATCCCATAGATACAAAGATGAATTTTAATAGTTATAATGAAATGCGGATAGTTTAATAGATTCTGCATAAAATAACTGAAACGATCAAAGGAGATGCACAAGAGACCCCAAAGGATCTGCGACTTATTTTATAAGTGATCAAAATTGAAATATTTATTTCAATTCTGCGGAGTTTTAAAAGAAGCAACAATTCTACTCATGTTTAAAATCATACTTTGCACGCTATAACTTCTCTGAAGCAAAGTTTGATGAAACATTTCAAACAAAATCCCGTCCTTCGATATTGTATATGTTGCGTTTTTTATTCTCCTGCAGAATTGTGTATATTTTTAAATACCAGAAGGTTTCATGAATGCATGTCTAATATCCTACGACTATGCAGAAGTTATTAGGTGGTTTTCATTATTGGTTATTTAAAATTTAGTTCTTTTTCTCATTTATTTTATAAATTTTTATTGCTGGATATATTTCCTCAAAGAAATAAATCAAAATCATGCATTAGGCATTATAAATGAAGAAATTCAATGCAAAAGAATATTAGGCCTTAAATCAAATTAACGGTAAAGTACTTTTTGTAATTAGTGTTGATGAATTGCCTGACGTTATAGCGATTTTGGAGTACATTTCGGCGAATTCCCTTTACTTACATTATTAACTAAAATTCCACATTTTGAATGTATAACCGTAGAAAAATGTATATTTTTATTATCTTGACTAATCATTACTCTCCACGGAAATGAAAATACTATGCAAATTTAATTTCAAAGAAGCAGATGAAATCGATTAAGAGAAATTTCCAAGAGTGATAAAGAGAAAGATAACTAAATGATCCGGTGAGTGACATGACTGCTTAGAGAAAATCTTTAAGTTCATGAAAATAGCTTTTTAGCCGCATTCCTTAGGAAAGTAAAACAGCTTTTTTTTGCATTTCTGTCCCCTTAACTTTAACCCTAGTTAGCTACGACAATCTGGTTCTGGTACATTAACAAACATATTTTTGTCACCTTGTAGGCATTTACCTTCGACATCGTTTTTTTAAGACCCCAACATTTTCAAAGTGCCTTTCTTCATTAGTCCAACAGTTGCTAAACGAATGGTTTAAAATGCAAAACTCAAATTTCCTTATTCGTTTCCTGGAGGGCAACAAATGCTAGTCTGCTGCGTTCAGCGCTTAATCATGAAATCCTGTCTCGCCACTTCATTTTTATTTCCCTTCAAATGATTGAGGAGTCAAATTAATCGTAAGTTAGTATTTAATAACTAATGAGGTAATTAAATTTTTTCGGGTAATAAATTGTATTGCTCTTTATTAGAAATTGTACTAACATGAATATCAACTCGCAGTAATAAAATCGCATTGTTAATTGCCAACAATAACATAATTATTAATTTATTAATAATTTAATCGTGTTATTCCATGTATAATAAAACGGTGTGTACCTACGTCCACTGACTCGAATTCCCTTTTTGTATACCCTATATTTTAGCATTGACAAACATTTCCACTACCTCCCACGCAATTGGCCCCAGCCAACACTCATTTTTCGTTTAAGAAATTATTATTGCTTCTTATTGGCCTAACTTAATTAGGTTATTGGAGTATCATTAGTTGGGTTTAGAGCTACCTTTGATCTATATCACAACATTACCATTTTATAGCCAGCGTCCTATAGAGCATTATGTGCATTGGTACCTAATAGTTCCAAATTTTCCCTTAAGGTAACATTTTTGGTTAATATTCTATATTACTCATTTCGTGTCAAGTCAAAATATTATCATTTCATTTTAATGAAGAAATGCGAGCATCATCTTTGTTATTTTTCCAAATAATCATACGCAAATCAGTAAAACAACAGTAATCATCATCGTAAATAGAATATTATCGTCCTAAAACTACTGATAGTAATATTTACTTTCTCGAAGTGATTCACCTCGACAAATTGAACAGGATAAAATCAAAGATACGTTTCTAACATTACACAAATACGCAGTCACCCCTGGTTAAGCCTGGGGTAGCCTGGTTACAAGCGCGTAGGACAGAGAGCTTAATCAAAACGCGGATCTAACTAGTTGAAAAGTATTGTTAAAAAGGATCGTCATGGCTACTAAGAGCCATTATTTGCTCTCCTTCGACCACTATGCACTTGAAGAGCGCGGCATTGAAGATGGCGGTAGAAGTTTTGTCAACAGTTTGGTGCAGCAGACCAGTTAGGCCAAGCGTCTGACAACTTTCCAGCACTTACTCAATGATTTGATGATAAAGGAGGTTACGACTAGCTTCTTAAACTGATATATTAATTTAAATAGATTAAATAATTAAATGAAGTTCTATGGATGGAAATAAAGGCATGAATATAAGATTTGAAAAATTGAGCTTTTTTTAAGATAAAATTAAATTAACTTTGCCCTAAATTTTCAACAAAGGCAAAAGTAAATAAAAATGAATCCCAAATGATTTTTCATACATAATTGGTTTTAATTATTCATTGTTACTGAATAACCATAAATGGACGAAATAATTCGACATTTTGAATACCAACATTTAAAATGATACAATTGCAAGATAATCCATTGCGCAGGAAATTTTAAAATCAATTTATTACTTACAATTAAAGTCGCATTAATAGATTTATAGGCATTACGATATACATGTAATACTAAGAAATAGAATATCAATTTCATGATCACAACATTAGAAATGGGATGTCATATTACCATCTAATAGATTGTTGGAATTCACCTACTCTCATATAACTGTAAAGTAATTTTGATGGCCACTCAATAATCAAATTTCCTATAGACACCCTTATATCTAGGCTTTAAGTAAACGTAACACTGTCAACTGAGCTCACCATGAGGACCCCATATATTAGTGACTCCAATCACGTTTTCATTTATGCAGTAAACATTGCTCTATGAATGGAGCCTTCGAATTTCACAATCCACTTCCCTTTTATTGCAAGCAGGCACATATTTGCATTGATTGAAGTGAATTGATAACCAACAAGTGGCATAAAAGACTATGAAGTTAAGGGAGTTGAATAATAAAAAAATGTGAACATATTAGGGGAAAAAATTTATTATTCCAAATGTAGACTTCATCCAAAATAGGAAAGCCGTTGATATATCTTAATACCTTTTGCGACCTGCTTGCCTATCGCTATCGCAAGTCGCAATCTGTCCCACCAGAATAGGATCCTTTGAGGTGCTCTGATCAACAATTAGATGCTGAGTTCCCACGGTTGCTAATTGCGTTTATTCGGATTATGCATGGCAAATAAGGTAAACAGAAATCCCACCAAATGAAATAAAGGTACTGCATAAAAAGAGGATTAAAACCTTTGTAGCATCTCGATTTTTTCGAGTGCTATAATTAATCCACCAATGAAAAAACGCTCTTATAATCCTTTGCACGACTTTTAGTTGAAAAGAAAAGTCCATATTGATCAAAGGCGGGGTTAGGAAGGAGAAATCATGCTACAACGTGTCTTAAAGATTGATCAGCAGAGTAAGTGGTGAGTTCAAAAATAAATCATGACTTCAAATTTGAACATTAAGATCTTCAATTATATTACTTTCTTGTATTCATTACTATTTTGAAATCATCAAAAAACGTATTCATAAAGGAACTAGAAAAATGGTAATGAGGTAAAGAAGAAGCCTTAATAAAATCAGGGCATTAATGGTTGCATTTTGATGGAATCCACGAAATCATTGAACCAACCACATTCCTATAGGAAACATAGCTACTGTTTTTCAATCAATTTTCAAGGTGAAGTATTCGACAACTAGGTTGAAGGACATGAGCATGTCTGCTATCTTCACTATTTGGTTATGCTACCTTAAGTTACTAATACACTATTTCAATGGATCAGACCAGAAACTAACCTCTATTAACTTATTGCGGATCCTGCCACTCATGTTATACGCATTTTCTACCCATAAGTGGCAGCTGTGAATTTTATTATACATTTATTCATAACACCTAGTAAGTCAACCAAAAGTGTACTCATATGCGATAAATATTACCTTTCGAGTACCAACTAGACGAAGCATTGTATGAAACTGTGCCCCGAGGAATATGCCTGCCTGGTGGTAAACCCAATGCGGTTCAGGTGTTTCGTGAACAAGGAAACGGAATCCCACTAGACCACTGTTGGGGATGAGATATTCCACCGACTCCGGGTCTAGCTCCAGGTGCAGTGTTTCAGAAGCTGATTTGGCAAGAAACAATTTAAGGTTAATTAATAATTTGGGGAGGGGGG